GTGTTAATGAAAATGGACAATGTAATTCCAAGAGTGTGAATCAGTTGAAGATTGTAACTAATGAGTTCCTTTCATTTCCACCATATGGAAGGTGACACATTCTCTGGAATGAATGTATTATGATAGTAGCATACTGAGAGGATGGTTAAGTTGATGGCAGTTATATGGGGGTGAATGTATATAGGTCATGTCACCAGTGCTGAATAAACGTGAGAAACTAGAAGGGTGGAAAGTGAAACACAAAGGTCCATGGTTAGTTTTGATGTGGAGAATAGTCGGTAACATTATATGGTCAAATACAGGCAATTTTATGGGGCCTGCATAGTAGGTTTTAATGTGAGATGAGAATGTGCATAGTAAGTCATGTGGTATGTGCACAAAAAACATATCGTCACAGTTTATGGGTGTGGTTATAGACATGGTTTGGATTGGTGACTTGATTTATTGACCACTTGTACACATGACGAAGAACTACAAGCAATTACAGCACTGTCACTGATCTACGTACTTTACAAATCACTATAGCACATGCTAAGCCTCAGTCTTACCTAGTCTTCCCTAGCTGTTGCTTGGTAATAACTCTCACCAATGGTGATTCTTCAGCTTCTGTATTTTTGCTCCAACTGCACTGGTCATAAAATTGCAGTACAGACCACATAGAAAACACCCCGTTTCGAACAGTAACTCAGTTCTTGCATGCATATTCGTTGCCTCAGGAATATGTTTACTGAGTCATTGCCCAGAAACGGTCGCTCCTTACAGAGTCACCACTTAGCAATGGGTCTAAATGCCACATTGCTCCTTCCTTAAGGCTATTCGTCCCAAATGGCCTACAGGTGTACCACCTTTTCTCCTCTTCTGAGGGCTGTGCTTGTGACATCTGTGATCATTCTCACCTTCCTCCTCATGGCTCGATTTTCACGGTATTTACTCCCCAACAGCTCCTGCTGCCACTTCCTTAAGGCTGCTCATCCTGAGCGGTTCCCTCATAGGATGCCAGTCAGTCCTGGTGTATCACCATCATCCTGATTTTCCTATCAGTGGGGGCAAAAGTTCCCAGAATGGTCAATGCTCCTACATCCAGTGCTCTTAATTTTCTGTTAGTCACATCTTCTTTTGTTTCGAGAGGGACCGACTCCAGCATGATGTCTTGACACCCATTTCTCAAATCATGAGGGAAGATTTGTCTATTCATTTTTGCAATTTCCAGTCCTAGGATGTCTGAAGGTCTTGTTAAAATTTCCCTCACTTTTCAGACATCATAGCACCTTCATGTCTCGGCTCCTTGTGCCGTTGTTTCTTTCTGGTTGCACCCAACGCCTCTTCCTGAAAGGCCATCCTTTCCAGGTTTCTAGTACAAAAGTGTCCTTGCTGGCCCCTGATGGTGTATCTCTTGCCCAGTGCAGGATTGGCACAGTGGGCCATCCCTCTGTGGACAGCGGTAGCCAACTTCTTTCAGGACCCACTATTGCCCTGGGTCCTTTCCTTCGGCCATTGACAGTGCCCTACAGCTAGATGGCAGTCCCTGTACTGCTTCTTCAGTGCTCTCACAGAAATTCACTGTGGCGTCTTCTTTAGGGACCCCTTGATGCTCTGACTTTGACTGTATCTCAAATGAGGTTTGCTCCATACTCTCCAGACAGGCCTCCATCTTTTCTAAACAGGCCTCTGTCACTTCTCGGTCAGTCTTCATCTCTTCTTGTCAGGCCCTCATGTCTTCTGTGATCTCCCTTACATTGGCATCTGCCTTGACTTGGTTGGTTCTCATTTCAACCATTATTTACTCCTTGCTGTCTCTCATCTCTGGCTATAGGCATTTCATCATCTGTCCATTTCCATAATGTGGCGATAAACGATCACATCCAGTGCAGTGTCCCATCCAACCACTTCCTGACATCAGATGTCTCGTTTATGAGTGTGACTATAGATGGGGTTTGGATTGATGAATGGATTTATTGACCACTTATACACATGACTCAGAACTACAAGCAGTTACAGTGCTATCACTGAGCTACACAGTTTACAAATCACTACAGCACATGCTAAGCCTCACTCTTTCCTAGTCGTTGCTTGGTAAGAGCTCTCAACAGTGGAGATTCTTCAGCTTCTGTACTCACATCATTGCCTCCTGGCTAATACTACTCACAACTGGACTCATTGCTCCAACTGATCTGGTTACAATATCTTGGCACAGACCTCATAGAGAACACCCTGTTTCCAACAGTAACTCTAATGTTGCATGCGTGTTCATTGCCGCAGGAATGTGTTTACTGAGCCGTTGTCCAGAAGCGGTTGCTGCTTATAGTCACTGTATAGCAACAGGCCTATATCCAATCAAACCTTGTCGAGAGACACCCTAACACTTGACAGTATGTTTTATAAACTATTTTTGTGAAGCACGTGTTAACTGTTGGAGAATTTTGCAAAATAACGTTGAAAATTCATATAGAGCACCTGCATGTAGTATCTGGTGTTCATCAAAATATGCAGTCACCTCTATCCAAAAAATTAATTCCACATTTTTCTCCCATCATCTGAACGTTATTACCTTTGCAATGAACATGTTAAATTCAGTCCGCTTTATCCATGATCTCAGTTTGGTAAGATTTCAATTTTTTTTTAGTATTAAAGTAGCTGAACCTAGTAATTATGGCTGACTTATTTGTTTTATAATCAGAGATCCAGAAAGTATAAAATCTCAAGTTTGTTTCACCAAATAGAAAAAGTACCATCATATGGTTTTCAAGAAAGATCAACAAGGCTTGATGACATAATATTTGTTGACAGAAAGGTCAGGGAGAAGTGCAGATAGGAGAATTGAATCACACAGTACACTGAGTTTGATGTGTGCTTACATTTCAGCATGATTGGAAGCAACTCAAAATACGCACATGGACATGATCATAAGATGATGATTATGAATTAGTACAACTCAGTATGGGCTCTATTCACAGTCTTTTAAACATCATGACAATATACAAGCTCAGTTCATACTCTGGTCAGAAATGCAGGTGCTGCTATTGATATTGCTGCTTGATTCTCCACCACAGTTCCTGCAATCATTAATTTCGCAAACACAATGCCATGTAATGTAGTCAAGCTGTATTCAGTTAGAACTTTTTGGGAGAAAGGGGAATGGGCCCTTCTGTTCTTACCAAACTACCTTGAAAGTGAGCAGATAGCACAGCTTAGACTAGAATTTCAGTCTCACATTGCTGCTTCATGCACACACACATTCCACTGGACTGTTTAGCGCAACAAAATTTATATATTTTGCCATTTGATGTTGCTGTCTGCAATCTCTTTGTTGGAGTCACTAGGTATGCATTATTCTAACCTCAGAGTTCTTTCTCAAACACTTTTTATATGATAAAATTTTTAAAGCCAAGCAATTTTAAGCAATCATATATCTTGTCTGAAATACTAATAGGCAATGTACATCTTTATTTTCATGTAAATATAAGTAAATACTGTCTAGATTAATTTATTTTTGGTTTATTTTATGGTGCTGGCAGTATCTCAGATTATATAGCATCAGATGGTGGGATGATTGGAGAATAATGAATTGGAAAGGATTTCAAAGGAAGCAGTCATGATCATGTCAAGGTACTGTCCTGGCATTTGCCTGGAGGGACTGAGAAAACCATGGAAACCCACAGTCAGGATAGCAAGTGTCTGTATTAAGATCTAAATCATCACATCCTGAATTAAACTCTAAGTATAATTTTTACGGGTTATGCTTCAGTGAGTGGGTTTGTTATTGTTTATATTGTAATGAAGCAAACGTTTTTTGTTTTCTGAGTGTATCATTCCAGCAAACCCAATAGTGACCCCAATCCACATCCAAACAAAATGATGTTCCTTGTTCATGTTACTGCTGAGCAATGTGCTGAATATTAAGATTAAAGAATATGAACAAGTGTTAAGTAATAAAACAAGATGTGTTGTGGAGGATATACAAGGTATTTACTGGTAAACATTTTAGATGATTTCTGGCTTTCATCATTGGTCAGTGCAGATGCTGATCCTGATCTTTTTTGGATTGTGACAAGGGGTAGAAATGGCCTGTACTGTCAGTATTTTGGGCATCCTTACTGTCATCATCCTTAAGGCAAAGTGATATGTCATGACCTTTGTTGGTATTTACTTCATTGTTACTTGATTGAGCCAGCAGATAATGAAACAGACCTTTGACCTTAGAAGGGCTGATCTCTTTCTGGGATGGAGAGTGGTGAAAGTTAGGAATGTTCAGGCTAACCTTTATGGAAGGTGTGGTCTAGTGAATATAGAATTAGGAAAAACAGGATCAATATTATTATGCGTTTCTTTTGTTTGGTGTTTAAAGACATAGAAACCTTGATTTCCTAACAAAATTTACAGATCAATGTCTCATACTCTGTTTATAAATTCACACATCCATTTAATTACTCTTGTCTTTACAAAGGAGTATATAACAATTTTTAATGTAATTATAAATGAAGGACACCAAAAATAAATTTTTTTTCAGAAGGTATTAAAGTGAAATTATATCACATAATTGAGATGTGAGATTCTCACGACGTTGACTCTGAAGAAGGGATCTTCTGGTATGCACTTTATAGTCTTGTATATGTCACTGATGTTTTGGAGGAATATGCTGCCTCCATCTTAAGGGGCAAAGATTAAGTCAAGCAAGTAGGAAGCGGAGTAAGAGTTCGCTTTCCTTACTTGGCTTACCCTTTCTCCCTGAAGATGGAGGCATTACATTCCTCCAAAACATTGCTAAACATCTACCAGCCTACCTGGTGTCATACCCCATGTAACATATGGCAGAGATAAATTTAGGGTTTCCTTCAGAACAATTATGTTATCAAAGCAGAAATATTATGTGTTTATGTAAAGTTTCTGCCCTTGGAACTTTCTATTTAAAAAATAACATTTTATCTGGGGATTTCTTTGTTGCTGACATGTTTCTGCATGGTCATTTTCTTACTGCATGTTGAGATGGTGGTTGGTTGTAGTTGGTTGACAGACTAATCTTCTCCTCTCAGCCTGGGGAGCGCAACATCTTCGAGCGAGGGTGTCTGCGCGCAGGTGAAGAGTGGGTTGAGGCTAACTTGGTACCAGTGGCAGGAGTAGCTGTAGGGGTGGCAGTTTTACAGGTAATAGACTGTGCTTGCTGTCTAACATTGTGTGTTCATACTTGGTTATCTAATATTATGCAAGAAATTTTGAATGTTTTGACCAGCAAATTCCACTGAGAAAGTGCTAAATGTCAGAGTTGAAAGATGGACCAGAAAGTTCTGGTTTTGATTCTCTGCCTAGAGGCTGGCCTGACTGAGGTTTCTTGTGGGTTTCCTTAGGCAGTTCATAGTAATGTTTATGGGAATCTGGCCATGGGTAAAAATTTTCGACCACCAAACATGGTTATACCTTACACACTCCAATCATTCCAGCTAATACCAATCATAATCACACCAGAAGGGTGTAGCTGTGTTGGTAGCCAGTGCTGTTACATGCAGACCTGAGTCGTACAGGTAGTAAAACTTTGAACTTACTGTAAATGGTTTAAATTTTCAATCAGTAAACCTTTTTTATCACTTAGTATTTAATTCTTACAATAGTTACTCCTTTCTTCCATTTTATGTTTTTATTTACTTATATACAAAGGAGAACTCAATCAGTATAACAAGTAGGCTGTGTTCTGGATGAGTAAGAAATCAAGGTTTGGTTCATGGTATGGGCAAGAGATCTCCTGCTTCTCCACGGCATCCAGACCAGTTTTGGTGCCCACCCACCATCCTATCCAGTTGGTACTGGGGACACTTTCACCAGAGATAAAGTGGATGGGAAATGAAGCTGTCCACTCAGCTCCTTCTAATGCTGAGTTTAAGAATATATGAAGGTGGACCTCCACTCCCCCATATGTCATAATGGCGTGGTGCATATTTAAGTGCAGGGATGACTTTACCTTCCAATTTAATTTATTTATTTATTACATATTTATTTGCTTTGAATTAGTCTAGATGATGATTGTGGGCAAAACTAATAATATTGTCACATGTAGGATGGTATGCCCGTCAAATATGACAGGTTCTGGTTCAGATGATTGGATTTATTGGCACCTCGGTTACAACCTCTCTTAATCACACTTAAATTACAGGCAACACAACTCTATTTCTGATTTACACACTTTCCATTTCACTGTTACATACACAATAGCCCTCTCCTGGTAATTGATCTCAACACAGGAACTATAACAGACTCACTGGATTACACACTCCAAGTATTACACATGAACAGAGTCTTCAGATCACACTTTAAATCCTCACAGGCCGATCTCCTGGTTCCATTTCCCTCTTCTGGCTTATGATTGAATTTCTATGCTGAATTAACTTCTCTTATAAGCCTTAAGCACTGTCGACACAGAAAACACAGCATCTGTTGTTGAAACATGTCTAGTGAACCATTGCATAGCAACAGTCATGGCACGGACTCCATAGAAAGCCAGTCACATGATAGCCATCTCACCAGCCCAGTGGCATGCAGTACTGTTTTTGGCAAGGGGAGCAGTGATATCTAATAAATGAACTGATAGCAATCAACTCACCAAAATTTATTTGAAGACCAAATCTATTCTCCGGTCCTTAGCAGCAAAATTATTGATGACATGGTTATGGAAGCCTTCATTGTTGCGAATGTTTTCCAATAATTTCTTCTCAATGGACAACAGAGACAACCTGGACATTCTGCCTTCCCCTTGAGAGTTCCTCACATAAGTTTTAATCCTCTTCAGTGCAGAAAATGAACGTTTAACCGAAGCACTACTTGCAGGAATTGTCATGATCAGTTCACATAACTTTGTCAGCTGGTGTAGTGCACTGTCAATGTTTGTAGTTTTTAGATGTAGCAAAAGCTGACTTGCATTCTGGATGTTTAAATCTTCATTAGATTAAAATACACTCAGTTCACTTCTTAAATGAGGAAAATTGAAGTGCTGACCATATGCTGTTTTCAGTGACAAAAAAGGAAGTTCATGAAATGTCTTTTTATACTCCTTACTGCAACTAAGATTTATTAATTCAAGAAATTTTAGCTTTTTAAATTCTGAAATCTTAATTCAATTTGATTCACAACATTATCAAAAATTTCATAATAAAGTTTTCTGAAGCATTTTCTTATGTCTCCTACCTTGTCAAGACACAATCATTTGTTCTGTGGTTCATCAATTTCTTCATTTCAGGACGTTTTGGAGAATACATTCTTGATGTTTTCTCTTTTCTTGGCTATATCTTCTTTTCCTTCAGTCACTTTATGGATACAAAAAGATATGTCATTTGATTTTGTTTGTAGTGTGTCGAAAAGAACAGTGGTTACTGGAAACAAATCTTTGAAAACAGCAAGTAGAAAATTAAAGTTGAAAGCTTGCAGCATAGAAAGAAATCCTCAAGTGGCAAAGTACGTTTCATTATCCCAGTTAAATGGATTTTCAATTATATTTTGGAACATAATGTTCAGTTCAAATTTGTATTCGTATACTGTCTCTACTAGACGACTGTTATAGATCCACCTGGTTGGTGTGACTTTCGGAAACCTCTTTTTCACTTCTTGATCCAAATAGTGTGTCCTTTTAGAAGATGCAGAGAAAAAGGAAGAAAAGCTGTTCATTGTTTTGAGAAACACATTGCATTCTTTAATACTGGAGACAGACTGTGAAAGTACAAGATTAAACTTATGTGCCATACACTGTATGAACATGGCATTTGGAAACGTGTCTCTCACTTTAGTTTTTAGCCCATTAAGTTCACCTGACATGACCGCTGCCCCACCATACGTTTGCGCCACTATTTTGCTGCCAAAACCATACTGAACTACACAGTCTATAATGCATTCAGCTAATGCCAATGCAGTTCAATCAGCACTCACATCCAAAAATCCTAAAAACCATTCTTGTATTTCACCATCACTAGTCGCATATCTTAATACGATTGAGAGCTGTGATTGGCTTCGAATGTCAGTCATCTCATCAACCATTACAGCAACAAAAGGGATCGAGCTCACTTCTCTTTTTATTTCTGTTAGAATTATGTCACTTATTGAATCAATGAGGTCGTTTTATATTCTGTTCGATAAACATGTAAATGCTGTACTCTTCTCAAGGTGAGCATTAAGTTTATGATCATATTTCCTCAACAAGTGAACTAATTCCACATAACTACCTCGGTCTATAGAATCCACACTTTCTTCATGACCATGGAGGGCAAGTTGCTTCTTTCCTAAATGGCAGATGATATTGTGACGTATTTGCGCTATGCAGGACACCCCCCTCCCACCAGCGATGATGTAACAGCATAGGAGCCGCTGCCACTGCTGCGGAACAGGCCAGTAAAGACTCCCCCCCACGGTGACATAACACCACTTCCTACTGTGACATAACACGGGACACTGCGGTTACTACGTGGCAACAGGGAAGAGTATAAGAAGCCGGCTGGGCAGTGTGTGAGCGAGTGTGTGATTAGGAGAGATAGAGTCTGGATTGTGAAGCCAGACAGAGGAGGTTAAGTCCAGCAGCCACGAGTTGTGTTGTATCGAGTGCATGGCAGTGACTCCAGCAGGAGAAGTAATTGTGATACTGCAGATGGCAGTAGTTGTGAAATTGTAAATTGTGTAACTGTAAGAGCAAGTGTGGAATAAATTCGCTATATCCAAGACAGCATGAAGTTATTTGTCACGTCAAACACCCAACATGTGACAATATCAATCAAGCGTTTCATTATTTCTCTATTTTCCTTCACATATTCATCTTGCTGTAGTATCGTCAGGTGCTTTTGATTGTCAAGTTGACAGTCAATTCAAGATTTCCTGAACATAACAGTTACATTGTTGAAATAATGTGAGACTGAGAGTTCTCATGTTGTTTCAGTGCATCATGAAGGTTTTTGATATTGTAACGTGTTTCATTACTGAAGACGCCATAGAGATTGTTAATTGGTTTATTCAACAACCTAGAAGTAACGGCTACAATTAATTATGACAGTGTTGCGGGGTTTCACAATATATAACCCTATTCGCAAATCAAATCACACTATTGTCAATAGTCTACACGTTTTCACAGTACCGGAGCCATACAAGTGTCACTGTGTTACACACTCCCAATTAATTCTCAGTTATCACAACTGTCACTGATTATCACACTTTTACTCGTTCACTGCTGACTGGAGAACTGTCTTCAGCCGCTGATACACTTTAACTCACTACAACTGAACTCGGCGACTGTTCCAATTCCCTTATATAGCCGCAGTGCTTGCCTGTTACGTAGTGAGTGCCTTGTCACAGTAGGAACTGGTGCCACGTCGCCATGTTTGCGTATAGCCTAGCAACGCTGTTTACTCGCGCCGTGTTACGTCACCGCGGAGGGGGGGATGGAGCGCTGACTCATCCGCCACGTCACTGCTGGGTAGGGAGGGGTTGTCCTCCATTGCGCAACATGTCACAATATCACCAAACCCAGTCTTGTTCTATATATTTTTTCATTGAGGAACAATAGGCATGGCCAACAAAACAGTTTTCCTATATTATGACAACTGGATAGCTACCCTGTTTAGAATACTGTTCCAAATTAAATTTCCTCACACATAATTTGGGTTGTGCTTTAAGTTCTGGCAAATCGCATGTCAGTCCTCTTTCTATAATTACTCGTATTTTATTTTCAGAAAAGTCCCTGCTATTAAACCCCCATTTTAAAAGGCTTTCGACTGCACAGTCACAGTTGCGTTGTCTGCCAGCATTCATTTTAGCTGTGGCCTGTGCATGTAGTCTAATTGCTCCCTGTCACTTGTACCACAATATCACACTTGCTTCCCTTAAACGCGGATAGCTTCTTTCTGATGCGTAAAAATATGAACACAAATACAATCTTACGCCATCTAAATATGCACTTTTAATAAAACTTAATGTTACCTATAACACCCAACAAGACTGAAATCACACATAAACAGTTAATTTTCACATAACCATCGAAAGAACACAGTTTGCCTAGCCAGCAAACTGAAAACTGCTTCCTTAACAACTTTGGGTGAGACAAAATCGTACGAAGATTAACGAAAGGAGACTTCGTCCCTCCCCCCAAGCAGGGGAAGGGAGGAGGCATGTGGCCTTGAGCACACTCTAAATTTTTAAGAACATGAAATATTCACATCCTTATTATTCAAATTGAATTATTTATGTATGACTTCTTTTCTTTTTGTTTCTTAACTACGGAAGCAATGCTTCCCTTGCTTCCATGCATGGCATGCCACTGCAACAGCCCATTAGTGCACTGACTGTTACCAAGCAATGAGCTATCAACATTCATCCTATTGTTGAGTGTGCTTATGTGACTAAAGGCTGTTTAACAGGTCATTGCCTAGAAACGCTCTAGCCATACATGTTACAATTTTTACAGTTAGGTTTGGCCTGCCTGAAAGTAGAAGGTGTTTTCCTGAGGCTCAGAGTGTGGGCATAGCTGAACCTTCCCTGTGACATAGTGCCTATGCCCCTGATCATAGTTTGTTTATGCAGATGCGGAACTGGTACCTAAAGTAGATTACATTGTCTTTCTTCATCATACCTTGCAATTGATAATTCCCTGCCATGCCATCATTTGACAGTATACAGCTTATGGTACAGAAGTTATTTGCCATAATTGTCATAAACAAGTTCTTGGTTATAGGCAAGGAAAAACTCTCCTGAATCACTTGAATGTATGAATACGATTCTTCTATTGGGTATTGTTTACCATCTTAGGTGTATTTCAGAAGCTAGATCTGCCTCAGTTATCAGGTATAAAAGGGGATACGATCCTGCTCAGCTGGGCTCATTAGAAGCAAGTCTTCTTGACCACTGGACAGTGACAAAGACTTTCTCCTTCTGATAGGCATAGCTGAAAAGGATCTTTACCCCTTTTACACCTGATGATGGAAGCAGAACCAGCTTATGAAATGTAAAAGATAAAAAGGTAAAGTTATCCCTGTAACAGGCTGTGGAGACCCATTGGTTTGAGAGACGTTGGGGCTCCCACATTTTTTAGACAATTGGCTCACAGATGGCTGTGAGTTTGTCAGCCTTACACACTGGCCACCCGTTAACGCCAGGAAAATTCCTGGCACTCATTTGCCTAGGAGGTTTAGTAGACTCCAGGGCCATATTGTGGCTAGAAGTATTAGGTCAATTGAAAAATCCAGTGTCATCATTGGAATTCAAACCCATGACCTTCCAGCTTGTAGCATAGTGCCTGAACCAACTATGCTTATGCATACTCCCATTTAAATATATCTAAGATGATGAGCAGAGTCCAAAATAACAAGTTTATGGTGAAGGACAGACCATTGTCACAGATCTTTAGAAGGTCGTTATGAAAAGGACTCTGCATACTCTGTATTCATTTTTGGGATGTCTGCAGATTGAATTCTGAAAGTGAGACTTCATTCTGATGTCCTTTAACCCCTTCAGACATTTAGAATAATTAAACTATGATTGCCCTTGTATCATTCTCACTAGTGCACGGTTCATCACATTTGTAACATCATTCACCATCTCTGATATATTTCATATGACATTGTAAGAACAGTGGAACATATTGGAGATGTGGTCTTCTGGGAGAAACCTGTTGCTTCCATCTTCAAGGTTGAATTCTGAATATGGAGGCAGCATGCTTCTCCGAAAAAAGTGTGACATTCTACCAGCCTACATGACATCAGTCTCAGAGGACGAAAACGTGATTTCTTGCAAACCTAAGTTGTTAATTTGCTGGATCAAAAACATTAATCATCAGTGGGCAACATTATTGAAGCCCTAATTAAATGTAATGTACTTCACTTTTTCTGTACCAGTTTTATAAAGTAAAACCTCTATATCATGATCTTCTACACAATTGAGACCTCCATGTAACAGAAAATCCTGGCTCTTTGTGAACCACAGTACAACCCAGTTTCATGTATTCTAACCCCAGTTTGAAGGATTCCTGTCTGCCAGTGCCCAGAATTTTATAGCTCCTGAAGTTTGCTGTATGGAGGTTTTGCTGTATATACTGATGTACTGAGTTAGATAATCAAGATGAGATTATGCTGTGTAGATGGCTTTGTGGTGGTTTTTGAATCATTCAAGTATAACCAGGTATCTTATTGACATCTGATGTGTTGGTGGAAGGCTGTAATAGGTAAGCACCAGATGTTGTGAATACATGTTATTGTCTCGCAGCAATATGATGTGGCCAAGATAGTAAATGAAAAAGGCTGTGTCCAAGCTGGCGAGGAATGGATGGAAAGAAATCTGTTGATCGTAGCTGGATTTGCAGTGGCCACTGCTTTTCTACAGGTTTGTATGAATGAATATATAGTAACTGTTGTGAATATAGAAAGTACAGTTTTTAAGAAGAATTTGAACTTCCATAAACCTCTTCCTCTGTAAGTTTCTCAGCAGAAGAACATGCAGGATGCTGCATAATGTTGGCTGCAAGTGTCTAGAGGTGCCAGAACAGCTACCTCTTTGCTGAGGATATGCAGGGAATAGTGGCTGATTTCAAAATTATATGCCTAATTTATAGCCACTTCCTTCATAGTTCACTTACTTTTCTTCAGGAATGTAAATGGCAGATTTTTATTTTCACATTCAGGTTGACCATAGTGAAGTACTGTTACACAAATGTTCATACTGCCCACATATGGCAAAGCAGCTTCCCTACTCCCATCATCTTAACTGCTTTGTTCACTCATTCTTTCTGTTTTATTTCCAAATCTCTCCCATTCTTCTTTCCTCAAAAAAAGACACATAATTTTCCCAATCTCAAAATAACAATCATTGTTTCAGATAATAATTTGCTTCTAATAATTTCTTTACAGTAAATTGTCCCTTTCTTGGTTATAATTCTTTCTCCAGTCTTCAATCTTTACTTTTATCTGTGTCAGCAAACATCAACACCAGTCCATAAAATCACCCACTCCTAGCATAAGAGTGTTATGTCTACAGACCTACTCCAGCTGTCACTTGTGATAAACCTGAAGTGATAGTAAATTTTTTTGTAATTAAGAAAACATATAAAAACCCTATTCCTTACCCTTTTGGTCACATACAATATGTGAGGTTGGGTGTTGCTGTTTTTGGCTTCTCTATGCATTTTCCCAAGTTGTTCATATCTGCTTTTTTTTTTTCTGGCAATGGCCTATTAGCAACCATTAGTCAAATACCCATTGAGAATTCAATGGAAAATGTTGATAGTTCCCACCTGTAGCTATGGTTTCCAGACAGCCTTTGAGGAACACTTCAAAATCACAGATTTACTAAATATGGAATAAACATGGACTTGAAAAAGTTCAGTAAAAACAGCTGCATAAAATAAACATAACATTATTAATTGAAAGGTAATGTTTTTCAGCAGTTCTCAACATTGTAATGCTGACTGACAGCACTAATACTGACACCCTCTGATATTGTTATCTTCTCCTCTCACAACTGACCGATACTAATTTTACACTGGGTTTCAATGGAAGTGACATAATAAATTCTACAATAATGTTCTGCTTGAATTAATTATATAATGTCACATGATGGAGTGTAACTATAAATGGGTTTTGGATTGATGATTGGATTTATTAGACTCCTTGATACAGTGTGTGACTTCACTTTACAGTTCATTATTTCACATGCACACTAGTGTCCACAGTCATGTCTTCACGGCTGTTCCTGGTTAGTGGCTTTCAATAGTGGACATTCCCCTTCCTTTGTGCTCCTAAACTGTCTGCGGCCTCAGCTACCGGCTTCTAACAGCAACAGCTCACAATGACTGAATCCAAGCAGTTCCCTAACTAGCTACAACTGTTAACTGGTCCTGGTTATAACATCTTGGCATGGACCGCATGAAGACATCTCTTCCATTATTGCCGTATTCTGTCTTTGCCATGGAAACATGCTTGTCCAGGGATCTGAGGTGCTTGCCTTCCACTGTAGCACACCTAAATATTGCCTGACAGCAAGACAAACTGGCTGTCAGTTGTAACTTGAATTTAACCTGACTGTATCACACTTCTGATTTCCCAAGAAAAACAATGGTTCACTGAATCGAGTTTCGGAATCCTCTTGTCTAATAAGTGGAATATACATTGCCCTCAATTTCTGTGTAACCCAGCACCCATAAGCTGTATCAAGTCACACATGGCCCTTTGTAACATCACAGTCACCAGTATCAATGGCTGCTCCATTCTAGGACCAGTAAAATGAATTCTCCTTCTTCACATCATCATCATCATCCTCTCCAGTATTGTGTCCATCATAACTTGTTATGATCATTCCTGAGGAATATCCTTTCATCATTTGAGATGTTTCCCCAAACTTCTTTCCCTTTTGATTGATATCTATAAGATCTTTGGAATAATCTCAGAGTTCATCTTGTCAACATGTTCTTTCCATTTTCTTCTGTATTTTTCTATGAATTTTGTTATTTGTGGAATTTGTTGCTTGCTTATAATTTCTTCATTTCTTTTGTGATCTTAAAGGGCATATCTCATAGTCCTCTTGGTGAAACACATTTTTCCTATTGTCAGTCTTCTGTCATTAGTTCTTATTGTCCATGATTCACTGCCATAAGGTAATATGAGTGTAACAGATATTCTTGTATGTCTAGAAACTAATGATGATTTAAAGGTCTGGTATATAATTTTTAGTACTCTTATGTTCAAATCCAGTTCTCATTCATAGAATATATTATATCTTAAATTATTAAAATTATTAGTTTCTTCCAATAGGCATCCCATGTTAATATACTGTGTACCTGCTTCTGCTTCATTCCATTTCTCTAAGCACCATAATTTCAAAGAGTTCTGTCTTCTGGGAAATAATGCTGTGGGGTCTAGTGAAAGTCAGCTAATGTTATGAAGGAACATGTTTCCTTCATTTTCAGGACTCAAACGTCAGCTGACTTTCACAGGACTAGATGGCATTATATCACAGAAGGGAGAACTCTTCGTAACCATCATTGAGAGAACCTCAGATCTGCCACAATTTTAGTTAACTTACATTTCCATGGAAAATTCTGCACCTTCCAGTTTTCTGTGATACACAAATATTCAGTTGTTAAAAGAGCATTTGATTATCATTCCATGTAATATGATTGCAAGAAGAGAATCATATTATCCAGCCTCAGTTACATAATAGAGATGGTAAACAGCCACACATATCCCATATTTCTGTGTTTGTAACACATTCTCATATACGAAGGTTACAGTCAGAGGACAATTGCTTAGACAGTAATAAGTAATATCTAGTAACGGTTCTGTTCATTAATAAATTTTTTTGAACTTTGAGCTTTGAGATTCATGTGGTAGTGATATAATGTCATGAGCCTTGATGCCATATAGCGTGGTAGAAATTTACTTACATTCCTCAAAAACGTTGGTAAACTTCTACCAGACTACACAACATTACATTTCAGAAGATAGTACTCTTTCTTTGCCTTGACTTTGTAATCTGCACTGTGACTGAAAATATGTTGTGGGTCACACTATATCTTGGATGGTAAGTGTGAGTTTACTTCTGTGTGCGTGACAGTTGGTCTTAACTCTAACCTACTGTCTCCAATAGGAAGTAGTTCTAAAGGAACATATGCAATGCATGAAGGTGGAAAAAGAAGGAAGCAAGATGGTTTGTGCAGAATTTTGATTTGAGCCAAAATCTGTGAGTATGCAATAAATAGTGATTAACCTCTATCAATCCCTTCCTGTTTTAGACAGAACTGTTCTGCCAAATACTGAATATACTGAGTGCTAAAACATCAGTTTTTGCTTAATGAAATTTAAAATGAATGAATGATGTGTATGTATTGACCGTCTTCTAGTGCACACAAACTCGCTTGTCACTTCACTACATGTTTCGGCATCACTGTGCCATCCTCAGGTGTGTTATTTACGTTAAACTATTGCACTGCTCACCATCATGTGTTGTTTATAAAATGATTTAAAATGTACATTCGTTGTGTACTATAATAAAATTTATATATTAAAATTTGTTAAGATTTATCATCTTATACGTCGTATTTCAAACTCATGTATTATGTCATTCTTCTGCTATGGGGTTACAAGGCATGCAGCCACAAAAGAAGGACACATCACAAGACACAGTATACACAAAATATAGGAAGAACGACTCCCATAGTGGAAGAATGACATAATACATGAGTTTGAAATACGACGTATAAGATGATAAATCTTAACAAATTTTAATATATAAATTTTATTATAGTACACAACGAATGTACATTTTAAATCATTTTATATACGACACATGATGGCGAGCAGTGCAATAGTTTAACGTAAATAACACACCTGAGGATGGCATAGTGATGCCGAAACATGTAGTGAAGTGACAAGTGAGATTATGTGCACTAGAAGATGGTCAATACATACACATCATGAACGCAAATCAGTGCAACAGGACACTAAAATACAACATTAGGAATGAATGAGTTGAATTTTCAAAATTAAAAACAATACATACAGTCCTGCCACAGTATTTATAATTCCTGCATCAATGCTCAGTACAGTCCACCTCAAAGCAACACTGGCAGACAATCACTTGTGCCAGCCATATTGCCCAATTCTGTGCTTTATGAGTGAATCACTTGATGGTTGTTTCTTGTACGGCACATATCTAAATGCTGCAAGCTTGCTGCTGCACCATTTTATGTTTGAAGGTCAAATGAAGATCTGAGATATTATCCCTGAATTCTTCTGGTTAAGTTCTGGCACATGCAGGTAGAGCCATGAATCTGTAAATCATATTTTGACTATAATATTCATTATCATAGCGTTATTCTCTTTCAAGCAGGTTCCCATTTTACACAGATTAAAGGAAATAAAATATTGCCAAGTATATTCCACATAGGTTTATAATCCAGATTTAAAGTAAAAAATTCATACTGTATGTATACCACTGTTGTAGTTTCAGTGTTGGAATGGTTGTCTTTAATATGTTACAGATTTAATTCTGTTTGTTTTGTCTTTTCAGATACTGGGCATCTGTTTTGCCCAGAATCTCCGGGCAGATATATTTGCCCAAAAGGCAAAGTGGCATTGACAATTAAGGGCTTCCACTGCAGTTTAGTGTCATTCAGTAATGGAAGGTGACAAAAGACTCTTCTCATCAATGCAGCTGTGAAGAACATCTTTTAATACTGAACTTTAAAGTAATATGCATAGGAGTAAATATGTCATCTTCTCTGCAGTGTGGAGCCCGTAAAAAGTATCATCTTACTTTAATAAATTATAGACATCAAAGTCCAACAAGAGAGTATTAAAGTACAGACACTAGTATCTACAATGTGTTCATATGTGAACAGCTGTGAAAGATTTATGTGACAGTGCACAAAAACTAAATATATGATGTCTCTATGTAGAAATGAACAATTACTGATTACGAGTGTAATGTGGGAGATATCAACTGGTGACTGTTGTATGAAAGAATATTTTCTATATCAAACATTATATATGCTGATATTCCAGTACGTGAACTTAGGACCCATTAGAATTTGGGCTATGCTGTGGCATAACAAAGTGTCTGTGTGTGCACAAGTATGTTTAAACACTTGCATTCATACATCACATGTTTCTGTGATGTAATATGCAAAGTAAAGTTCATTTTCTGGATTATATGAGTGTTTTATGCAGATGTATAAAGCTGGTTTAGAGTAACATATTTCATAGCATAGCTGAAGAATGGTGATTCTGAATGGCAATTCCTGTGCAACAGGAGACATTGACCATTTCAGCATGTCACATCTAAGTTAAATGTAAAATTGTGACATGCTGGAGCATAACATAAGATACTCATTTTAATTTATGTCTTTAAAATGCTCACTCTGATAAGGTTTTGTATTTTTAATATATTTTTACATTTTAATACTTTTATTATATTAAAATAAATGTCCATATTTAATTTTATGATATATTAATACTCTGTTTCCAAATGATAATCCCTTTAATCTGAATATCATTTGGACTTTTATGTGTGAAGGTGATGTGATGAGAACCACAGCATTTTATTAGGATTTTGAACAGATACATCGATACACACCTGGAAGGAGATGTGCATAATGTAATTCATGAAGAAAGAGAAGTACAATGTATTTCCATGAGTTAATTAGTAAGTCTCTTGGATGGTAATTTATATGAAAATAAATGCAACTGTGTTGACAGAAGGTCCTGTTCTGGAAATTCCATCTTAGTGCTATAAACAGTTTTAAGTTTCATTCTTTGATATCAAAAGTGCAGAAGTTTGTTACTTATTTCACTTCAGATGTTATGTTTCTTGAAAGTTAATCAACTCTTGCATGAGCTGCATGGTTATGATGTGATAAGTTGTGCATTATTAATTTGATGAATTTTGACCAGAGTCCTCCTGCCCCTTTCCCTAACAGTCTGTTTATTAGTACCCTTGTGCTTTTTCCAGCATGCATCAATTGTTTGCCAGTGTGTGTGCCAGATAATATTGACTGAAAAACAGCATTCATTTTGACTGAAATGGTGGGCCTGTATTCCGGTGTAAAAGTTGCAAAGCTATGAATGACATCAGCATAAGAAATTTTCTTTACAGTTTTCTATGTACTTAAACTGCATGAATTTCCATGGTGAAAGCACTAAAGGTGACATTTACCCATCTCTGTAGGACATTCATAGCCCTATTAATGGTAAAAGAAACTGAATATATTACATATTCTGCTGTATATTTCGTATGTGAAATATTCTCAAAGGGGTGGAATTAAACTCAGGGCACTTAAAAATGTTCAAGCTCTCTGCAATATGTCCACCATTATTACCGTGTCAACTGAATAAATTGTCTTTGAAAATTCTGGAATCAAAACTGGGTGGAAGTATGGCACTATTATATAGCTTAATGAGGTGTACATGAAGGTACGGAACTTGCTAAACTTGATTGAAAACTATTTTAATTTTTTATGCTGGCAACTTTCTTTCATAGGAGATTGCATTGTTCCTAAACTATTGTTATGGAGGCATGAGATCTAATATAAAGAAGCTTTAGGCCTACATTTCATCAGCTAGAATTGTTACATTGACTTTGTGGAACAAAATTTGTAGCAAGTAAAATTCTGTGTTCGATATGAAGCTCTCACAGCAGTGGCTGTGAAAAGTACAGTTTTCTGGGTTGTAACACTGTGTAATACAGCAAGAGACACAACATTTTGGAGGAACATTTAGCCTTCATCTCCAGAGTCAAATAGTAGCCAAGCAGGAAATCAGCAGAAACACGCAACTACCTGGGCTAGATTGTTGTTTGGCTTACTCTTTTAAATGTCAGCCCCTCTCCAAACCACACAGCATTACCACCCAGGTGACTATGCTTTCCAAATACATTCTGTTAACATTATTGGTAAAGGTCCAGATTCAAACTCAAACCACTTGGAGTGAATTTCATAATGATATTATCTCTATGTATTCAAAATATAATGGCATCTAAATCATTTCTCTAAGCCAGTTAGATTAAATAATATCATGAGAGGAAGGTATGTAATTGTGAAAAATGAGCAATGGAGACTGTTACTTAGTCATAGTTTTTATACCAAAGTGATTTGGACTTGAATAGTTATATGCTAAACTTCAATGAAGAGCAGATACATATCACAAAAATAACTGTCTTAAGAATCACGTGATTTCATGTGTGGTATGATATGATGTAATAAATGAAAGTTTAAAGGTCCCACATAAAGGTGTTAACTTTGACAGAAGAAGGTGATTTCCTAATTTAAATCTTCTGTCATATTTGAAATTGTATGCAGTTATAAGAAAAATTAAAATTTGTCTCATTTCATTTATAATAACTTAAAGTACCAATAACAAGAATTGTTACAAAATCATGATATAATTGCATAATTACCTTAGTCTTATCTTATCCTCCCACTTTTCTGCAAAGGAATCTCAAAAACATCTGAAGACATTGTTTCTTTCTGGTGTATTCTTATGTACTTCTTCGGGCTAAGAGCTCCAAGTGAAATTTGACAAGGATTACACTATAATAGTAAATAAACTGCTGGACTCGTTAGGACAGATCTTTTTTTAGATGTAGATGATATTTTATGTTAATGGTTTAAAGCTGTTTCTTTTCTCCTGAATAAGTTGAGGCACTTGACTCTGGATATTTACCATTCATTTAAAGTGACGTTACAAAAAGTGACCCAGGTCAGTAAATGTATTAATATCTTACTTTGTTATATTTGTTTCCGTGGGATGTATGTGATTTTGATATTTTCATATTGGTTTCTGTGGGCTTGAATACTTATGTGGTTCTAACTGAAGAATGAAAGTATTTTTTTTATTGCCAGTGGGGTGGGACTAAGTCCCTTGTACTGTGGCCACTTCTGGCCTATTGTACCAGCCCCAGATGATAGGTGAGGGTGATTGTGGATCAATAGGTGGAACGAAGATTGGCAGGGGAAACCGAAGTACTCGGAGAAAACTTGCCCTAGCGCCACTTTGTCCACTACAAATCCCACTTGAGCAGACCCGGGATCAAACCCGGGCTGCCATGGTGGGAAGCCAGTGATTAACTGCTTGAGCTATGGCATGGCCCTTCATGCACTTAGTGTCTACACTTCATGCATCGTACTATGTGGCTTATAGCTGACTTCTCGCATACTTTAAAGAACCAGTCACCTTGTCCCTGAATTGTTTATCGAAAACTGAAAATATTTGATAATTGTCATGCACTGGGGATTCTAAGAGTATGAATATCATTTTGCTGAGCACTCTGGCTCATGCTGTAACACTTCAGGCCCATATTTGGAAAGGTCTCTGTTCAAATCTTGGCAGGGACATCAGCTGCCCTGACTGATGTTTTTTCTGGTTTTCCTCAGTCTCTCCAGACAAATGATAGGATATTGTTTTAAAATTAGGCTCCTACCACTTCTTTACACATCCTTTCCAATTCATTATCATCCACTTATTTGATACAAATATAGTATATATAGTATGAATTACTGGCAGTGTCATTAAATAAACTACAAATAAAAACTGAGAATATGAATGCCATTTAAATTGTTCAGTTGTTACAAGACACAGTTCTCTTATAAAAGATAGCTAATTTCATATTTTAATATATTTGTTACATATTTGATTATTTAGGGAAAATAACCTAATAGTAGGAATTCATCTCATGGTTTTTTTCGTTATAGCAGTTTGTGTGGCCTGTACTGCTACCATGACCTGCAGTAAAATGAACTTAATTTTTGTTGCAGAAATTTGATGATGATCATTTCATACATTTACATTTGTAAGTGCACAGGGAGAAGCAGGACTCACAGATACCTTCATTCATGTAAGTGCTCCATTGTGATAGGACCACTTCTTCAAGTTCTTCTTTTATTCTCTTTCAAATATCACACCATCCATGCTACTTCCACCCATGTACCATGCAAGGCTTTTTTATTCCAAAGCTACTCAGTTAAAATTCTGGTTGGAACACAAACTATCATGACAGATATTTCATGGTTTTTCTTAGCACCTCTTAGGTAGGTGCCAAGACAATTCTTTGAGAGCAGAACAAACTGCATCCTGCTGTGTCCGTTCCCATTCTTTTGTGTACAACCTCACTTTTCACTTGATAGTACATGCCAACTTGGGCACTGGCAAGTGTGGAGGCAAGCCAGGCTTTTGCCCCCAGCTCACCAGATTAAAAAAAAAAAATTAAATAGAGAAAAGAAGGAAATATGCTGTGGCCGTCCTCTCTCTCTCCTCCCGATTGCTTCTTCCCGTATAACTTCCCCCACCTCAGGGACTGCACCATCCACCTCTATTTCTAGGAGTGTAATCTTGTACTTGTCTTACTGGAGGGTGCCCCCTATATCTATCATTCCCCATCCTAGTTGGGGGAGAACTTGGTTGGTTTGGGGCAATCCGGGTTTCCACTGTCAGAGCGGTTGTACTCTCCTCTATCAACTCCAGCCTCTTTAGTACCTCAAGTGCCTCAGCTATAGTTCTTAATCGATTGCTCGCCAGTGATCTCTGGGTTTCAGGGGGTAGTGGCATCTAACAGCCTCAATAACCTCATTGTCTGTTAGCTTGGGCTCTAAATACGACGCTATATTTATGTATTTCAAAAAATGGGCAGATAAGGACAAATCTGCTCCCTTGTCATATTTCCTTTGATACAGGCTGCACCTTATCAGTCCTTGTTGGGCCGGCGACCACCAAGTAGCTAAAAATTCGGCTTTGAATTGTTTGTAGTCCGTAAATTGAAGGCTTCTGGCCTCCGTCCATTGTTTTGACATCGGGCCTGTCATCGACCTTTTAGCCACAGTCAACCAGAGTCGTTGAGGAATCCCCTAAATTGAAAGAACTCTTCCAAATATCTTAAGTGCGACATAGGATTGACACCAGCATTTTCATCGAATAAGGGCAGTGCAAATTCTCCACTCCCGAAACTAGTGTTTTCCCTAATTGTTCCTGACTGCCCTTCACAAATGCTCTCTATGCTTGCTCCACCTGAATCAATCACAGTATCTGTAACAGTTTCTCTTCGAGCGAGTAGGGGAGTAGCCCCAGGGTCTGCAACGAAAACTGATTTCCCTAATCATTGCCTTAATTTTGCTGCCTCCTGCTCAATTCTCATTAGTTCTTTATTGGTCCTAAGTTGACCATCACTAATTCATTGCTCAATCTGAGAAGCTCTCTCCCCTAGCCACCTCGAAGCTTCGCCCGAACTTATTTCTATTTTCTCCTGAACCTGTTGTAAGCTTAAGCTCAAACTGGCCACCTCACTACTCACTGTGCTCAATCTATCTATCTTTTCTTGGGCTTGGTGCAAACCTAAGCTCAAGCTCGCCACTTCTTTACTCACTTCAACAATGCTAGTTTCTGCCCTTTCTTTATTTGCTATCATCTGTTGTTGCAAACTTTCGCTTACTATTTCGTGGTGAGCGGTAAGCTCCTTTAGTTTTCCTTCAAGCCCCCTTTTATCTGTTTCCATTTGTTCTTTTGCCCCTATTAATTCTTTTTCCCATCTTCCTTCTCTCTGACTTCCCGTTTCTCGCACATGTCTTATTTCCCTGGTTAACTCAGCAGATAGCTTTTCCCTTAGCTGGTCATGTGACCTTTGGCAGTCCTGACGCACTTGGTTTATTTCTTCCTGCAATTTCCTTTCCCCACTCTCTTGAATCTGTACTAACCTTTTATCTATTTCCACCAGGTTAGCCTGAACCTCATCCCTAACTCATATTATCTGAGCCTGTAACTTTTCTCGCATTTCTTTTTGACCATTTTCCAAGCTCTCAAACAATTTTTGAATATTCTCCTCTGATCGCCTAGCTCTTTCCTCGGCCTCTGCCTTCTCCTTTCGAAACCGTACCTGGATATTTGCCATCAAGTTCTGCAATTTAAGACTATCTCTTTTCTCAACTTCTACTAGTGGGGAAAGCTGAGTAACCTCTGGGTCCCTTCTGCTGTTGCCAGTTTCGAAATTTGTGTTCATGGCTGGTTTCGGTCCCTGCGTTCTTTCTCTTTGATCTGGTTGGTCTGATGGTCTGTCCTGGGATTCTTCCCTCGAACCTAAGTCCATCTCTATCTCTTCTGACAAAATGTCCACAGTCCTACTTCACAAAAGTTTTTGAGACATAGTTCCTAACCTTTAGTATTACTTATTTGTTAGCACAAACCCGTTTATTTGTCATTACTTGCGCTTACTTGTTTTGGTGTTTCACTGGGAAATTGCTCCTCCTGTCTTCGCAAAGACATCGTGCCTCGAGTTGGGCACCATACTGTAGCCGTCCTCTCTCTCTCTCTCTCTCTCCTCCCCGCGACCAGTTACGGAGCCGAGTAGTACTGGTTGCCCCTTGTAGTTATACTCGTTCCATACTCCGCTGTTCTCCGGGCTGCCTTCTGTTGTCCACACTTAGTAACTGGACACTCGGCTACTAGTGCCATGTTAACCATTAGATTTCACTTTTTTATATATACAGTAGAACTTGGTTATAACGTCATCAAAGGGACCTAAAAATGGTGTCGTTATAAACGAATGTCGTTGTAACCGAAATGGGCACTTCCACAGTAGCCTTATGTTAGTCACGTAAAAATCTACCAAAAACCGAGTTAAAATGTTGCATTTTTTTAGTGAAATACGTAGTTAAGTACAGACTAACATAACATTAACGTGGAATTGCCCAAATGTGTAATATCAAAGACATATTACAGCGCTTTTCACTGACAATACACACCGCACTAATACTGTATATTAAAGGTAGGCCTACTCACCAAATTACAGTAGATTACATCAATTGTTGTGCCTTACTATACCTAGATACGAGTACAGTAATCAGTTATCTTCATCTGTTTCCTGTTACTTGCCCAATACACACTTTCTAAATTACGTTCAATGTCCATATCAGAGAAATTCGGGAATGAAAATGACGTTACATACGAGGTTGATGCATTTGTGCATGTCGTACTAAGCAAGGTATAAAAACAGTTGCTTTATGAGGAATTAGTTCATACCATTGAATATTTGACGCAATAGACAAGGTGTCGCAGAAACCGACGTTGCTATAACCAAGTTTTACTGTATTTTATTTGTTGTAGCACGGAAAACCTTCCCAGGGTCTTTACAGGCCTCGCTTAGACTGGAGCATATCGCTTAATTCACAACCACAGTACTTTTATACACAAGGTTATATATTCATTTGGTTATTACAATGCAGTATATGGCTCACTATCTCTCACAAAATCCTGGAGAGCGTAATCGGGTTACACTTGCACTCTGTACATGTATATAACTAGCTTCACTAATTTATAAGTTTGAATGCAGTAAAACCAAACTAGCTGCACTATCACTGACTTAGGGTATATTACTCTTTTGCAGCCTACATAGCATCGCACAAGTCTGACAGTGGTATCTACCAGAAGGCTTCAGGCGCAAACGCCACCATCGGCTTAATTCCTCAATACTCATAGTCACGAGACATCTCACATCTCTGTCAACCCCGGAATTTGCAAACATCTCAAATCACACAGTCGAAGACAGCCTTCTGAATGCAATTCAGACTTATATACCACGCTTTACAAATCCAATATAATTAATACTTCAAAACAATAAACAGAATGGCCACAATACATAACACAAAAAACTAAAGTATTTAAAAAAATATC